TTTGTGCTATTGCTTTCTTTATTTCAACAAGCTCTGGCGTGATAATATTTAAAAAATAAATTTCTAATATTGCTCAAAAGAAGTAGAAGAAGAGACGTGACAAAAAAGATGATATTAAGAATAATATTAGTTTAGAAGAAGGTAATCTGTAACTTCTAATATGCTTATGTCTTATCAAGAAAAAGAAATAATCCACTCTTAATGAAGAGAAGACAAAGCTCTAATATTATAAGTGTATTCTTGTCAATCTATCAAGAATATGAAGTGTAAAAAGATGCATAAACTTGAAAAATTTGTATCAAAAGAAAAGTGACAAAATAACAATAAAGTAATATGTATATTAAAAGAAAATTGAAATAGCTATTGCCAAAAGACAAAGAAATTAGAGACTCTTAAATCTAGACTAGAAGCAAGAAAGGAGTTAACAAGAATGAATATGGCTTTATTCTTGCCTCTATATATACTATCTAATTAGGAGCTATATGGCAATGTTCTATAGGACCTCTAATATGTATTGACTTTGCAAGATACATGTCTTAGCTTACAAGGTAAGTTTTCTATGTGTGGGCCTCATAGTTAGCTTATTCTTCAAGCTATCAACATGTCTAGCATATGAAAAACTTGTTGACGACGTTTTTAATCTAAAAAGTCAATTATAGATATCTATAAAGTCAAAGCATCATCTATGAAGCTTCTAAGAAGAATTCATAGAAGATATTAGAGAATTAATCTATTTTTATATATTTTTATGTAATTATATAGGTAATTATTGATTTACATGTCTATATTTGTGACAATATTTGATTATTTATAGTGCAACCATCAAAGAAGGTGAGCCGAAGTAGGGATCTATTTGGATCATCAAGCAAAAGTCTTAAGATATTTTTAGCCACAAAATATATATAGAATACAAAGAGACATCATTTTATAATCAATCTTTACAATAGAAATGATCTCATAGGTATTCTATTCAGTATTACTTATACCATAGCTTCATTGTAAAGAAACATTATTAAATCCACTCAATCTTATATGAATTCCATGTGTAGTATAATTTATTATATGAAGATCTAACTTAACCTATAATAGACCTTCTTGAAGTCAAATAAAAGAAGTATTAAGGATTGATTGATTTCTATAGCCTAATCCATTTTTCATTGATCCAAAAAAATGTTGTCAAAAATACATCTTTCAAAGACAAATGTCATCTATGAACTTCTAATCTAGGTAGAAATCATCTTATTAGCTAAAATTTTTGTAATAATCTTGTATATAGTCCTTAGAATAGAAATAGGTAAAAAATTTATTACATAGTAAGTTCTTTTTCTTTAAAGAATAAGTTATTTTTGTTAGTATTAAAAGTTTGGTATAGAAACTTGGTTTCAAAAACCTCTGTTATTAAATCTATGAAGTTAGAGTCGATTTTGTTTAGGAATATTTTAATTAATTTTATTGATATCTCATCAATTTTGTATGTTTCTTTAGAAAATAGATCTTTAACAGCCTTATTGACTTCTTGTCTTGGAGATGGTTTTATCAACACTATTTCATATTCTGCTATTACATATTTTGGTACATTCTAGAAATAATTGAAAGAAGCTTCATGATTAAACTCTACTACCTTGTCTTTCTTATAAAATTTGATGTAATACAAATTTATATAGTGATGCATATCTTTGTATTCTTTGAATATATTGCCTACTTTGTTGAGCTTTTAAATAGGTGAGGATTTTTTGAATCCGTTGTGTATTTCAAAAAAAAAAAATATATATATAGCAATCATTTATGCATGTCAATTCCAATAATTGGTGATCGTATTTTATTTCTAATTTTTGTTGATGGCATATATATAGGGGAAGTTGGGCTTGATTGAACCTGTCTCTTCCTTCTTAATTATTCTAGTTGGCTTCTAGATTGAGCTTTGCTTCAATAATTGATGTAAATTTATCTTTTAAGAGCTCTTTGTTTTGGCTTTTGTGGGTTGCAATGCTAATATGCGCTTCTACAAAATGAATATTCTCAGACCTTAATAAATTTGCTTCTATTGCCCTATATCATTTCACTACTATAAAAATCTTTTTTATTTTAAGGAGGTGTTTATTGAACATATGTGAGTATTGCAATCAAATAGTACACAATTGAATGCACGCATACATGAAGGCATAGTCTAACACATTGGCAAGAAGTAGCCATATAGCCATTTATTCTCTAATATATATTAATGCATGGTTTAAATAAAAACAAATAAGTCTAAAGCATATCATGTTTGAGGCCTACTTCTTGTTGTTCCATGTATATTGCTTTGAAGTAGATTTTCTAAACTCATCTAATGTATAATTGTTCTATAATCCATGGTGGATTAATAAATCATTCTACACAGTAATCTCTCTCATGCCTCATCTTATAGTTGATTCTCTTCCCTATTTGTTGCTTAATTATTCAATTATATTAAAGTCACCTTCAATAATCCAAAAGGCTTGTGAAAGAAGGATGTTGTCTTGTTTTGTTCTATAGTCTTATTCTAGAGCTTATATAGTTAAATAAATAAGTATTAATGATATCTATTTTAATACAAAGATTCCATTGGATTATGAAAAATTATACTTGTCTTTTTATGATTACTTCGGATTTACATACCATATGTGTGAATTTGATTGATAATAAAATAGCAATCTCTCTTTTAAAATTATCTTTTTATATACAATAAATTATGTCATTCCATAGAAAGAGCCCATATTTAGTTCTACTTGTTTAATGTACTTCTTTTCTTCTTCTAAAGAAAGTTTGTATTCTTAGATTAGTATGATATCTAATTTAAGAAATATTTTTGAAAGAAATTTCTTACCTTGTATCACTTTTGTATCTCAATTAAGTCTTGTCCAAATCCCTATTTTTTTAGCGACACAAAGATAATATATTCAATCATTTATTATGTCCATTTGAAGGATTATAAACTCCTCATTATTTATATCTACTTGTATATCTAAAAAAATTTTGTATTTAGTAAATATTCTAAGAATATAGCTAATATGTTATTTTCTAGGTTCAAGGCCTACGTACAATGTTATATGAATTAAAGAATATGGTCTTGGAAGGACTATGAGAAGAGGGTCTAACATAGACCTCATATTCTCATTATGCATATGCCTTTGTTATAGCAAAGGAATGCAATAATTATGCATATTATTTCTCTTGATTTAAGAATTGGCTAATGATACAACCAACTTGCATCCTTCCACAAATGTAGTAAGTTGACATATTTTTGTTTAAGTATAATTTGTTCCTTTAAGTAAAGCATTATCTCATTGACAAGATGCTATTGCGCGGATTTGGTGTTACAGGACTTTTCTTCTAATCTTCCAATCTATAGATTAAAGTGTATGTAGTTAGCCTCTTCCTAGTGAAAATCTTGGATTTGACTAAGGCTTCCTTTAAGCCCTCACAATATTTGTAGAAGATTGAGGTGGTTGTTACCATGGAAGGTAGCCAATTTGAGATTTCTATAGGAGCTAGGACTATCCAAAAGCTTTTGTGTAATTTGAATGTCATATAACCCTGAGCCCCTGATAGTGGCAGAGTTGGTAATTGTGGAGTTTGTTTAGTATGTTGGGTCTATGTTTGGATTTGTTTAGGTTGCCATAGAAAGTTTGACTTTCTGGTGTTTAGTTGAGGACAATTATTTTGGCCTAATGCACTCCATGAGGCAAATATCCTACTTCTGCCTTTATTTGTCTACTATTGTAGTCTCATATTTGGTCTTTCTGATATTGTACATCTTAGGATTCTCCACTTTTGTATTGTGTATTCAAAGGATCAGCAGCAACTACACTTTGAGGTAAGTCTAGTGTATTCTAACATGTGCTCAAAGTCCCCTTCTCTATCTAATCTAAATAAGAGGATGGATTTGGGAAGTGATTTTATATTGCCCAGTAGAATGCAAACTTGTGGGCCTAAAATCCTTGTGAGATAGATGTCCAAGTTGTCTAAAAGGAGGACCTCGTAGAAGACTTCGAATGTCTCCCTGAGGAATTCCTGTATTCTTAGGAATGGCGGGAGTTCATGGATATTTACCCATATACCAATTTTCAAGTGGGCCTTGTTAAGAGAGGTTCTGAATTGAAATACAGGGACTTGCTATAAAAGGTTATGTCGCCACCCTCAAGGTTGTATCCATGATTGGCTAGGTGTGACTCTGACCTTCTTGTTTGAACTGGACTTTGAAATAGTTACTAGATCTTACAGTTAGCTGTCTAAATGATCTGTGTAGTGGCGTTTTTGCCCATGTTGCTAGCTTCATGACTCTAAGTGATCATCTCGTTATATGTCTGAGGACCATAAATTCAGTGAGGTTGATCATGGTTTCCCTGTATGATTGAAGTGAATACGTTGGTATTTAAATTTTCGTAGGTGGTGGTTTTGGAAATTCGTCCGGCAGTTCTGTATGTTGATGCGTCTCTGTTGTGACTAGATGACCATAGGTCGGGTTGGATTGTGTCCTCGTGAATAATAGGAAGGTTTTCTTTCGGTTTGTCTACCTTTCCTGGTGGTGGATGGAGTCGCTGTTGGTGTTGTAGGTAGAAGGATTGTAGAAATTTCACTAGGTAAGGTGCTACCCTGTCGACTAAGGTCGACACTTCTTCATATGCCATGCTGTTGAGTGACAAGCCTAGATATGAGTATCTTCCCATGATTTTCTGAGCTGTTTGTCTCTTCCTCTATACGTGTTTCTGTATGGCCTTGAAAATACCTAATTTGGTGTCTGCGTCATAGGCCTTGGAAACCCAGTTGTCCTTGTTGAGAGAGGGAATGGATGTTGTAATGGTAGTGGATGGACCTATTTGCACTCCCAGTGCTTGTTCGTGCGATGGGGTGAGGAACTCCTCTCCTGTACATCCCTTCCTGTCCTCCTAGTTGGTGTATTACCTGTTTTAACAATATCTTGTGGTTCTTCGTCTACTCTACCAATTGGCCCTGCTACTTTCTAAGGGGCAACGAACTTGTCCAGGAGAAGTGCTGTAGACTGACCAATCAAGTTAGTCTCCATTTTCATTAAATCGGCTCTTGTTGATACAAAATATTCTGCTAAGGACTCATTTAGCAACACTAATACTAACACATACTTTAAACCCCCTAAGAACTCTGATTGGGCTCTAAACATCATTCCTAAATTTTCAGATCTGAGGCTATGCGGCTCCGAATTTCACGGAGCCCTCCAGTCAGACCCCTAGCCGCTTATCCCAGCCATCTAGACTATTAGGGGAGCAAGTATTCGAGAAGAACCGGTATCTCTTTGTGATCCTTTAGCCAGGTTGAATCGAGTCCACACGTCGAACGCCGTGGACTCGGTTTTGTTTGCGTCCTGTGCGTCGATCACCCTCGGTAGTCCCTGTTTTCCAGCCCCGCGGTAAGATTCGCCCCCGCAGTTCTCACCCGGCTTTCTGCACCTCTTCCTGAGCTTCACACTTAGAGAAGAGTGTGCTGAAACCGCATTGCCAATTCTCACCACGCTGTATACCTGAAATGCTCATTATCAAGGAATCATTCTTTGAGTCAAAACCTTGCATTAAGGCAATGGTCGATAATCCGTAATTCAAAACGCGTTTTAGGTTCCTATCTAGACATGGTCCCCCAGTTCGATTTACACAAGGTCTTTTCGCTCGATTGACGTAGATTAATGAACCCTGAACAGTTAAGTACTTAGGCTCTTACATTGACAGACATGCTTTGGGCTGAAGCCGCGAAATACTGACAAGATCTGTACCTATGTCGAATCCTCCAGTCGGAGGCCAAAATATGACCGCCCATTGTAGTAGACTTCCAAACGAGTTCAATAGAGACGAACGAATAGAAAAAATGCTCGCCATCCAATTCTCAACGAAAAGGGATAGTTTACCAATACAAGGCATTTCCCACTAAAAAATCGTCCATGACATGAACACTCAGTAGGCGGGCGTACAGTATGCATTGCGATATCACTTGTACAAGGAATCACTAGAAGGGGTCGTAGAAAATCGTGGGCAGAACATGAGGCTTTGTCCATCCAACTGACTGTAGATGATTCGCAAATGCTAAGATAATCGATGGTAAGTCCTAATACCAATCTCAGTAGGGTATACATCGGGTAGAAGAAATACCCGATGCGAAGTAGAGGAGACGGAGACAATTTATGGAGACTGCACCGACACCCTAGTCACTAGGTGACTTCAATTCACAACGCAGAACACAAGGCATGCGCATTCAGTGTATATCACTTCGGCTACAACCTGGTGCACTCGGAAACGTAATCCGCCTGCAACTCCATGGAAGACGATAATCGATGATGTCCGGGTTCAGATCTGTAAAATTCTGACAAGGTTAGAAGGTAACTCAGTTCCACACTGAACAGGACAGGGATAGCAAATGAGTGATAATAATCAATTCAGGATGGTGGTGTTGTGAAACACCGTAGTTGAAAGGAATTTAAAACCCGCGCTTACGCCCTCTCCCCTCGGATGCGGCGTGCGAGCTGGATATCCTTGGGCATGATCGTCACGCGTTTGGCATGAATCGCGCACAAATTAGTATCCTCGAACAGTCCAACCAAATAGGCCTCCGAAGCCTCCTGCAACGCCAATACAGCGGAACTCTGGAATCGCAGGTCCGTCTTGAAGTCCTGCGCAATCTCACGCACCAACCTCTGGAATGGCAGCTTGCGAATCAACAACTCAGTGGACTTCTGGTACTTCCTTATCTCACGAAGGGCAACAGTTCCGGGCCTGTAGCGGTGAGGCTTCTTCACTCCGCCGGTAGCAGGCGCTGATTTACGAGCAGCCTTGGTGGCCAATTGCTTCCGAGGCGCCTTGCCTCCGGTAGACTTCCTCGCGGTCTGCTTAGTACGAGCCATAACCTTGCCTACAGAAGCTCCAACCACACGTGAACAGAATATCCAGCTAACAAGCGAGTCAGTAAGGCAGTGGAGGACACAAGCGCACACATGCAAAGGATTACGGAGAAACATAAATGCTGACGGGAGGAGACTAAGCTATTATGAAGGGTTGAGACAGACGAAAGATTAAGCGGGGGCGGGAAACTTGGGCGGCAAATTTGAATTTCGGAATTGGACGCCATTTGGGCGGGCAACCACGCTCCGCCTGAGGCCGCCAACAGTTCAGTGTACCAGAATATTCAAATATGAACTGGATCTTGTTCGTTAAATTAATCAACATTTTTATTTTTATTCAAATAAACCATGTAAAAATTATTTAAAAAATATTCGAATTTTTTTAATACAAAAAGTTTAAACTAAAATGTTGATTTTAGTTATAACTAGTTCCTTATATTTTTGTCATTTGATCATGAATTTCATCTTGTATGCCAATTTTAAATCTTTGTAGCTTACATTAATTGTATTTTATTCTTTTGCATGATGTTGTATACTCATCTATACAATAAGGAAACTTAGGTATAAGACAAATAGATGTAGATGCCTTCTCAATGGCTAAAATTAAATAAATTGATAACCAGCAAAAAAACCTTCCACAAAATGTAAACAGACCTCTAGTTTACTATTTATAAGCAACTTTTTTAGTGCTCAACAACACAAGTTTTTGTTATTAAATATCCATATATGTACATGCATGGCATTTATTACAAGGTAATGCCAATATCTGTATATCTTTAAACTTTTATATTAGTCGAATGTAAATTGTACTATTATATTTATATATGTGTGTGTGTCTCATGTTTATATACATATTTTATTTATTTATCTTTGTAAATATGCACTTACCTACATTACATGAACCATATTTTAACAATTACATTTCATACATACACATATCAAAACGTATAAAAGATAAATGAATGAAATCTTGAAGCATTTTAAATTGTTTTTCAGTCTCGTCCATGCACCTCAGTAGCAAAAAAAATCACACTTTACTTCTAACTTGTGATGAATGAGGTTTAAAGCAACACTTGTTAGAAACACGATTTTTAGATAAATGAGTTGTGTGCACATGCATTAACTCTGTCAATTTACCAAAGGCTTTGCAAAAATGAATCTATTGACAATTCTAGAAGATTAAAGCAAAGAAGAAGAAAAAAGTAAGAAAAACTGAGGTTTTAAAATGAACCATCTTCGAAGAAATGATAATAAAATAAAATAATAAACATTTTTGGATACATATTTGCAAGGATTTTTCTTTGTCCACAAATTGGTTTTGTATGTGACGAAATGATGTACATCAGGAGTGCAATGACGGGCATGATCCAGGCCATCCCGTGGAGACATAAAATCTTTCCAGGGTCTTCTATTCCACTTACAATAATTAAGAATCACCATCTTATGTTGTGCATGACTTCTTACTGGGGCCTGCATTATCAAACCTCACATAGCATCGCCGGTACGGTGGGATATGGCGGGGCTCTTGCCTGGGTAGGGAGGGGACGCTCCAGCGGGACCTCTAACGGGGCGGGGCCGGTCTGGGCCATGTGTGCGTTGCGGCGATCCTCAGACCTAGCGTTGTTGTTGTTGTTTTCGTCGTCGTCTTCGAGGCCTTGGACTTTGTGAGCACTGCTGCAAGCATCAAGCTCGAGGAACTTGACGCGCAACTAACTAAGCACCGATAGGAGCCTCGATCACATTCAATCATCGCCGGAAAACGAAATTCTCTAGGTGTGTGATGCGTTACCAAGGGTTTTGCTTGTGCTGAAAGGTTTTTTCGAGTTGAGTGGTGGGGAGGGAATGCTGGAGGAGTAAGTTTGCAAACACAGACGGGAGAGGAGAAGAGTCAAGGCGCGAGAGGAAGAGGTGACCAGGGAGTGGTATCAAGATGCAAGGGTGGTTCGCAGGACCGAGCAGCAAGGGGCAGGACAAAGATGAGGTTTCCGTATTGGCAGATTGGAACTCCTACGCGGCCAGGAAGGAGGCCGATGAGGGCAGCTTGAGCAGCGTAGCCTCGGCCGCAGCGATGGATCTAGAGGCCGGCCTCTCTTCTGCTGGCAGCACGCTCGTTGGTGCTTTTAGCTCGTATGTTTTTCTCGCCCTTTGATGTTTGGAACGTTTCCACTTTGTCTGCTCTTCGGTGTGGCGATGTATTCTTGGTGGTTGGGATAGTTATTTAATGTGCATTTTAACACGGAAGAGCAGCAAACAGTAAGAGAAGATCTTTTTTTATGACGTTGTGTGTTGGGGCACCCTTTGCCACGTTTAATTGTGTTACTGAGCTCGAAACCCTAATTGTGTGGATTAAAATAAAATCATCTCGTCTGACGCTGCAACGCCCCATCGTTTTGAGAGTCGTTTGATAATAGAGCCGAGTAGGCTCTGAGAGAATGGTGAAGGATTGCAGTTCATGGGCATAAGCAACTGTTCACAAACATGTTGGTGATTCGGCTTAAGTAATACTTGATGAGATACATCATATCTCAGAGCAAGATGAGGGAGTCTGAAATGCTCATTCACTAATCAAGCTAATTTATTCATTGGTGCAACATCGTCTATTGTTTGCAATGCATCGCCAAGGTGGTTTCGCGGATCAAATTTTCCTGGCGATTATTGACCCTTAGATTCTAGATAAGCTTGAGTTGTGTTCAGTATTATGTAATGCTTCTTTTTTGGGATGAATTGCACCTTCCAACAAGAGGGAGGCATTCTTTTTGATTTCAGCAACCTCTTGTTAGCTTGGTCCTTGCTCTCGCCTTTCAAAGTTCCGTAGGAGATGAAAGCCTAAATTGCGGAGCAGTGATGTTGGGAGCGTGTGGGCAGAGTTACAAAGGGAATGCGTGATCTACCTTCAAGTGTTTCATCCGCGGCAACGTATGTGCCATCGAGGCAATCCATCATGTCTTTCTCCGTCATGATCGGATCTGGGGTGTTTTTCATCATGTTGGCCTTCACAGTATTCCTCCCGATGATTATTGTGGCGCCTCAAAAATTCGCTATTTGTTTCACACTGGGATGCATTTTCATCATGGGCGCTTTTTTCGCGCTTAAGGGTCCGAAGTCCCAAGCCCTTCATATGATCTCCAAAGAGGTAAGAGTTCTTTCAGACTCTGCTTTTGAAGTTAGTAGTACGTATTCATATTCTTCTTTGGTACGAACAACGCTTTGTAATCAATGCAATTATTCGGGGTATTGCAGAGGCTGCCTTTTACCCTGGGGTTTCTTGGAAGTATGTGTGCAACTCTGTACGCTTCGATGGTTCTCCACAGCTACATCTTTTCGGTGTTTTTCTCCGGCATCCAGGTCAGAACATTTAGCCAGGTTTCATCTGTGTTCACCAATTGGTAATTCTAGTGGGCTATAGAGTTATGAAACCATTATCATGATGACAAATTGAACTTGTTTTGAACAAATTTTCCGTATTCTTATTGTTGAGAAATTTTAGTTTCGTGAATAGTTGTTTTGGTTGTGGTGAATATAGAACAATGCAGATTTGTCTTACCTGGTGATTAGATTGCTCACCATGCCGGTCCAAATTCAGAGCGATGTATGTATGTATATACCGAAAGAGAGAGGGAGGGAGTCGCTACACCAATGCATCTTGGTCGCTGAAACGAACTGATCTTTGACTGTGCGCCTACAGGTTCTGGCTTTGTTGTACTACGTCATCTCATACTTCCCTGGAGGGTCAGCAGGCCTGCAATTCATAACTTCTTTCTTCACATCTGCAGTCATGAAATGTTGCAGCAGATAAAAGTAGGAAGATCATTGCTTCTGTGCTTGTCACATCCTGCACCGTTGGCATGCCATGGTAGGAAACGTACCTCGGTTTGTTCAGATCCATCTACTTGGACACACGGGAGTTTTGTGGGTCATGACTGTCTCCTTTTACTGCCAGTCTCATAGCCCTACAAAAGCTGGAACTTGTGCAAATTGATTAGAGTTGTGAGTAGTTGCTGAAGTTTTCTTGGATTTGTAGAGCAAACTTAACTACCATTTCCTTCATCAGTAGTCCTCCTCCAAGATTTTGGAAGAGACGAATGAACTTCTTTGGGTGTCGGAATAATACGTCAGGGTATTCAGATCCAACTGGTCTCTGGTCATGGTTGTTTTAAATCACTTATGGTCTGATTGGTTCTGTCCTTACAAAATTGCTGTCATTTTAGTTAATTTTTTCTACAGATTTTTGTCTTCCGTTGATATTAGTTTTTAATTACCTAAACCATTCCATCTTGGTCCAGGTGCAGCTCTCAAATTAGCACCCTTCGTAGAGGCTCTCTCAAATAGCAGTTACGAAACAGTAATGCATTATACTATCTAGTCTGAATTGCTGTGAAATAGATGTTTGATGCTTAATGTATTTTTCTCTTCGTCATTTGAGTAGTGATAGTTTCTACTGGATACCAGCGGGGTTATATTGCGTGTTGTAAGTTTGTTTTCACTGAATCAGGTAGCTTCAATGCATCAATATGTGAGGAAACATTATAGACAGACAAGCTCCAGAAGAATAAAACCCAGACGATGGGGGACTGGGAAACGTGATGAAGATGGTTGTGGAGATTTAGACGATATTATCAAATCCTCTATTTCAGGATTACGAAGACATTTGTGTTGAATCATCCAAGTTCTTGTACTTCATCTCATCAACGAGCTGCTTCACTGCTTACCACCAATTTTACCCCAATTTTACATACAGAAGTGAGTATTTATAATGCACCTACTAAACTAATGTTTTATGAGAGGTGTAAATATGATTAAAGATGTCAGTCGTACGATTGAAATGTAATTAAAAGTAATTTTATTTTGAAGCATAGTTGATTTATTCCAAATATGTAAATTTTCAGTTATATATATATATATATTTAAAATATTATAAATTTGAGTAAATACAAGTGATAGTGTTAAGCTAATAAATAATGATCACAAAAATAACATCAGGTATATTTTGAATTCAAATCTTCATCAAGGACAATAACCTTGATTTATAATATTTGTTTCTTTTTTTGCATTTGAAAAATAATAATTTCAAATGCAATTTTTTTTTCAAAAGTTGTATAAAAAAATACTAAGTATATATATATATATATATATATTTCAAAATTAAATACATTAGTTTAACTTTTGTAGTTTAATTTTTTATTTTAGAACTTCAAGGAAAAATTAAAACTTACGATTAAAAAAGAAAAAATATCATATATACTCTGGAAATATGTTGAAATATCAAGAATAGCCTTGTATTCTTCATAATAGCAAATCTACCCCTTACTTTTGTGATAATATCAAATCTATTCTTTAACTTGATAATGTATCATAACTATTCTTTTGGAAGTGCAATTAGGACTCAATTGACATGTCATAGAAAAAATCAATGGACCTTCATTGGGACTTTTTGATACAAGGATCTGTTCTTATGCAACATTGGCCATACCAAATTGGAAGTTCAAGGATCTCATAAATGCACATGAAAATGCTATGAGCATTGTCAACCAACACAAAATAGAAGAGAAGCAAGAATTATGGGGCTTGTTGAACTAATGCTCAATGGATTGGAGATCAATGGCAAGACTATGCTAAGAAATTTAAGCTTAGCAAGGTCGAGAGGGAGTCATAGAGATATTGTGCATGTAGTGGGAGTTCATGTGACCCAATTGATACACCATAAGGAGTGAGAGATTGATGACCAAGGTTGGTTCATTTATCTTTAGTATATCCATGAGGCTTGAGATTGATTGATGTTTTGGGCAAGGATCATCTCTTAAGCATTTTTGAGATAAGCCAAATGATAACAAACTTGTAGATGGTAATTAAAGTAAATGACCCAAAAATATGCTATGCTATACTGATTGGCATCCTATACAAGCATGTGCATTGGTAGTAGAATTTTTGTTTTCATAAGATTGGAGTTTAGTATCTACCTTGGTTTACAAGCCACAATAAACTTCTTCCATCACATGTCAGATTCATTATTCCAAGCTCCTATGTTGTTCTTTAATTGAACTGCCATGAGGAGAATTCTTAGCAAGATAAGTTGACATGGCTAATTCTGCCCAGCAGTAGCAATTCCTTATGCCAAAAAGTGCCAAAGAAAGCTCACGCAATTTCTCCTCATGGAAGTTGGGCCCCAATTGCACTTAAAAAAGAATAGTTATAACACCTTATTAGGTTGAAGGGTAGATTTGATATTATCACAAAAGAAAAGTATATGTTGTTATTATCGAGAATACATGGATATTCTTGATATTTCAACATATTTCATGGATATATATGATATTTTTTCTTAAAGAAATGCATATAAAAAATGTAAAAAATATTAAATTTATTATGTTTCATTAAGACTATATTTTTATTGATAAAATAACCTTGTATTTCAATTATTTTTTGGACATTACCAAGTCACTTCTCAAATTTGTTATTTGCTTTTAATTTTTGAGTTTGATTCATATATATATATATATATTTTGATAATGACATACAACAAATCTAAGACAAGTATATACACAACTTCATCAATTCAAAACTATTCCAACATAACTATAAAAAATTATTGATTTTATAATAACTTTGTTAATAACTGAGAATTAATATCCAATTATTATACTTTATTTTGATTTTTAATTCTAAAGTGTGTAATAATATTAATTTCTTTTTATTCTTTAAAATACCTTTTTATTTATTTTAATTTTTTTTTATGGTGTAATGTAATATCATCTTGGGTATATATACACATATTTACAAACATGCCTACATTTTTATAAAATTATACTAATAAGACTCTACTTTTATAAATTTCACAATTAAAAAAGTCTATGCAATCATAAATTTATGAAAAGTATATCTTCACAATTAATAAATTTTTTTATAAAAAAATTTCGTACTTAATACCTTATGTATTTGTGTATTTTTATTTTTTAATGTAAATTTTTGATAAGCCTTAATAAAATATCATAATTGTTCACAATGAAAAAAAAAAAATTAAAAATTAAAAATCATATGAATGTATTTGATTAATAACCTAAATGCAAAAGAATCAAATTAAGAAAACAAAATAGTGTATGTCTACAAATAAAAATGTAAAATAATAAGTCAAATAAATCTTTATTTATTTAATGTATATATATATATATATATATATATATACTTAGAATTTATATGTATTTGATAGAATTTATTTTTTAATTTGTAATAGATATATATTGAGAGAGAGCAAAAAACCTCTACACATCACAAGGCATGGGTAATATATATATATATATATATATGTTTTAAAAAATAGGTTTCATGGTACTTTTAAAACCATATATAAAAACATATTAATATTCTTTTATCTAATATTTTATGATTATTACAGTAAAATATACATTTTATAATTATTTAATTCAATCCACCATGCTTTAAGATCTATCTGAAATTTATTTTATTAACTAATATTTATAAGACAATAAAATTAACTAAAGATATACAATATCCTTTAATGAATATGTGAAAAAAATAATTTTGAAAATAAATTTATTATGATGTCTATATTTACTTCTAAATAACTTAATATATATAATATTACTAACTCACAGACTATAAGATTCATTTTAAAAATTAATTTATATTTAAAATGATAGATCTTGGACTTGTTTAGGCAATTGAATAATTCTTAGTAATTCAGATTTAGGAAGTCTTTACATGTAAAAGTCCACCTCTAAAGACCATGGTTTACAAGCCTGACGTAGGTCCCTTGCTTGGTAAAGAAAAACTTCTTGTTCGAAAGCCTTCACATTTGGATATGAAATAAAGTGAGAAGAAGCTATAAACAAATCATTTTAAAAAAATTAAAAGTCTAAATATGTCAATTAGTATCCTAGTATTTGAAACCATGAAAAGTGTAAATGTTTATTTTTAGTTGTGATAATTTTAAGTATAATTTGATTTACCTTAATTTTTTTAAAAAACCATCTCTTGGGATGGACCTAATGGAAATTGTGGAAGACAATCCTATTCATACTGTATTTAAAATAAATGTAGTATACCTCCTATTTTCCTCTTGGGACATTTGTGTTGATTTAAAAATAAAATAAAATAAGGCTTCTGAATTGAGCCAATCAGAATTTAAAAAAGTTTTGTCTTGAAGTACAAAGGCCCCTTTATCCACCATTTTAGATAAGAAGTCAAACAACAACTTCCAAAAATGTTGTTGATAAGATAATAATAAAGCATCTTCTCTAATGAGAGGTTGCAAAATATAGTCGATAACAATATCTATATTTTTATCACTTTAGTAAAAAAATATAAATTTATTATTTATCTCAGCTAATATTTAATATTAATTAAAATTTTATCATTAAATTCATAATTTTATTATAAAACATACTTATTAAAAAAACTATTTATATATATATATATATATATATATAGAGAGAGAGATTGATATACATAGCATCGGGTCGCCGCGCGCGGAGACAAGATGGGGTGTAGGGGAGGGGGTGCTTTTGCTGGCCCCGGCTGCTGCTCCTGCTGCTTCCTTTGCCTTTCGGCCTTGCTTTGGTTGGGGCTCCTTCGGTACTCTTTTATTTATTTTTCAATTGAAAAGGGTGGTTTGCAGCTCATGTTGTCGTTGTTCTTGTTGTTGTTGTATTCGCTGTCGAGTGAGTTGGTGGTGCCTCGTTTCGAGTCTGAGGAACCCTTTCATATTCGCAGTAGTCTTTGCCGGGGTCGATCGTCTCGGAGTGCGCTTTGAAGGGGTGGTCTGAATCGAGGAGATAATTCGTGCTGCTAGTGTCGGTGAGAAATTTCTTACGTGTATTTAGAGATTTTTTTTTTTTTTTTTTTTTTTTTTCTTTTCTCTCTCTCTCTCGCTCTGGTTAGGGTACTGGATGGATTCGTGTCAATTTCGGTGTTGAGTGAGTGAATTGAAGTTGGTTGAAGATGAGCACGTGCTGAGGATGTGTGGAATTTTAAGTATGAAAATAAAGTTAGATGATAGATGTAAGTGAGTGGGAAGATGTGGGTTTGACGACGGCGTTAGAGGAAGGTCCTATAATCCCTTCATCTTTTTGAATAGCATATCTGTTTCTGTTTTTGATAATTCGTGTAATTTAAAGGTTGACATCACCGCCCAGATTAAATTAGGTTGATGATTTTTGAGCGTTTGGGTTTCTCTGCACCTGACAGTTTCTGGGGAGCATTGGAACCCTCTTTGTTGTTTCGTGGTATTTATGAGGAGGTGATTTTGTTGGCAATCTTTCAGGCTTCTTATGCGGTGTTTGTTGTTGAGTCTATCATCCGAGGTGCGAGGATTTGTGAATTGAAAACAACTTTGTTTGCAGGGTCGGGTTAGGACAGATCGGCTGTGAGATACACAGACGATTCGTGCGCAGAAGGTATGGAGGTGGAGAGGGATAAGATGACAGTGAGCGTGGTTTATCGAGGAAAACCATACACGGCTGAGGTGTCACATGATGCGACAGTGGGAGAGCTCGGGAAACAGTTGAGTCACCTAACTGGGGTAGCTCTTCACACGATGCGGTTGCTCCTTCCACGAGGTCGACAAAGTCGTTTTCCTGCTCTCCTTCCAGCTTCGGAGCAGCATTCCTTCATGACCCTGAAAAGTGCTGGCATATCTACGGTATTGTTATAACACTCATACCAGTAGATGCTTCTCTTGGCAGATTTAGATTCCAAATCAGTTATTGGACTTGTCAGTTTAGAGTGTTAGTGCTCAAATTTTCTGTGCGAGGGATCGTGCGTGTCACAAATAGTTGCCTTTGTTATCTATTTCCTTGCGTCTTATGTGTCACTATTTGCTGTAGGGCATTGTCTTAAGAATGATGGGAGCAACTGCAGAAGAGGTAAAGGAAGTATCTCAACCCCCTAATAAGCGCGTCGATGGACGAGTCATTGGGTTTGATGAGGAAGAGCGCAGGGAAAAACTACGATCAGGCGTTGGTACTCGCATCCAGCTTCCTAAGGGACCATATTCATTCTCCGATTTTCGGACTCTTGCGCTCCCGGGCATCGAGGTAATAATGGCTTTAGAATGTTTCTTTTATTTAATTTAATTTTTTAAAAAAAGATTCTGCTGAGATAGTATGAAACAGATTTATCCTTATGCGAGAAAAATCCGTAAATGCCTATATAATAGAGGTATTCATTTCCTAATATTTCGATCATTCTCGGAGAGGGAGCATTGTTAGGATATTTATCTATTCATTTTATGTATATTTTACTTTTCTTTAGTGAAATGCATGCTGAAGTGTTCTGACTATTGGTTTCGCTTGAGCAGTTGCACCCTCCACCACACAAAGCTCTCGCAATTATGCACAAGCTCGCAAGTGACCCTGGCATAGTGGCTATTATGAATAAGGTAAATTATACACGCGAACGGTTGGTTGTGCTTGACTTTGTAATAGTTAAATGACCTTGTTCACTTATTTACTCGTTAGCTTCCTATATCTTTGAGTCGGGTTGATATTAGTCAATGCAGCAGTTAATTTATTACTTATAATTGTTTACCCTCTTCAAATTATATCAGCGCTAAGGGAGGTCTCTCATAGTACTAACTAAAAATATTGTGTCATGCAGCATAGATGGCAGGTGGGAGTAATGACAGAGATGGCTCCAGTCGGCTATGTGGGCATTAGTCCGAAGTGCCTTCTCGGGTTTAACAAGGTGATACCGGCAAGTTGGCCATTTCGATTTGTAACTTTGGATTCAGTAAGCTTCCAAATTAATGAAGCACTCAGGATAAAATGTATGGGTACTGTATTGGAAAAGACTTGATGTATATTCTAAAAAATATTTACGCATTTCCTGTATGTGTAGAATCGGGGGCAAGAGATATCTCTACGACTGCGGACGGATGACTTGCGAGGCTTTCGCAAGTACGAGAGTATGAAGAAAACATTGTTACACGAATTGGTAAGTCTCAACGGAAACAGATGAAACTTTTTACTTTAACTGTATTAGTTCTTAATGAACTTTCAAGATCTTGTTCTGGTACTAATATAAGTAGTACAGTACACATGATATTCCAAGCTTATACTTAAAGTGTGTGGTTCTTGCAGGCACACATGGTCCACGATGAACATGACGAACACTTCCATGCTCTGGACAAGCAGGTAAGCTATGGTTCAAAAACTTAGGTTGTTGTGACCGTCATCGTCGTCGTCGTCCGCTGTTCTTGACTGTCATAATGAAAGTTGTGTTGTGATTTTTTATACGCCGACTTGGCTTTTTGATTCTATTATTATCCTAACTAATGGAATTTACCGCTTGAAACAGCTAAACCAGGAAGCAATCGCTTTGGACTGGACGAAATCCGCTGGACACACTTTGAATGGGTCTAGATTCATAGAAGATGACGACTCGCCTATGGATGTTGGCGGGGTCAGCAGTGGACATAAGCTTGGTGGCATATCGTTACCTTCATCAAACATTAGAAGTACAGCCGCTCAAGCTGCAATAATGAGGTATGAAACTGTATGTGTTAAAGCTGTTGACTTTTAGGAAATGTCATCTGATTAGTAAGTTCTTCATTCTTTTAGGCGTAATCTTCTTTCTCGTGTATACATGCATCTGGATCACATCACGCATAACTCAAGTATGTATATGAACACAATGTAAGAGTGTCTTCTTATCACTTGAGGTTTAGAGTTGTACTAAGTGATAATGCAACCTGGTTTCATGAAGAATATCTTTGTAGCTTTACTTGTGTTATCCATACTAGTGCGTTTTGGTTTTGAGTATCATGTTGCTCATCTTACAAGTTATTGATTGTGCAGGTTGGAGCAAAACAAGCAGACTTCCGAACTATCGAAGGCTGATGTCTTCGCAACTGCCCAGAGAGCTGGAATATCGGAGCCAGACCCAGATGAATCAATGGTTCATAGAAGTACAAGTCTGCCTTCATGGTCCTCTGTAGAAATATCTAACGAACCGGACCCAGATGAGATAGCAGGAGAGATAGTGGTTACTGCAGAGGGTCAAGCGACAGGAAGGGAGCTTAACGATCAGGTAAATTCAATGCTTGTGAAGGTTCTGCTTTGGAGTTATGTCGTGTACCTTCGCCACTGAGGATTTGAGGCTATTTATTACTGCAGAGCTTTGAGGATTTTACATTTTCATGTATTGACGAGTCTACTCTCGAATCTCTTTCAAACATTTTACTGTTTTCAAGGTCTAAACGCGATTGTTTGCTTGAATAGAATGCAAGAATGGAGCCCGATCCAGACGACGCATTGCAACACAGTGAGGAGCCTGACCCTGATGAAAACACTTCTAGCCCTCTAAATCATGCGCTCTTACCAGTTATGGATACTAGAAGCCGAATACCTGGCCAAGTCTATTCACGCACTGAGCCCGATCCTGATAATCTCTCTATTGATCAGAAGCACACTAGCTCAAGCGGGTTTAATGAACCAGATCCTGATGATATGCTCATCAAAGAGGAGGCTACTCAAGAACCTGATCCAGATGAGCGTATGGAGATGGTTGGTGAGCCCGATCCGGACGAATCTCTGCGCGTGAATGAGGAGCCCGATCCTGACGCAAGTGCCGCTGAGAGTGGTAGAGTTGAGCCTGATCCGGACGAAAATGCACGTGACCTGGATCTTGGAATGGTAGACGGTGAAATTGCCAGAATACAAGATAGTACAGCTGCTGCAATGGCACGGCTGCAAAATGCCATAACCACTCTGAAGAGACAAGCAAGTCCTTCTGAAACCAATGCAACTATTCAAGTATTGTTCACTATTTTCAGGTATGTGCCTCAGTTGAACATCCTGTGACTTTGAATGCCTATGCTTTGGTTAGATACTCTTATGGACTTGTTTCTCCTTGTTAATACTGGTAAAGCTATCACACGTACACGACTTGTCCTTGTGGACATAATCTTTCAAAATTGCTTATGATGGTTCGTTTGTACTGTAGGAATGTCATCGACCATCCGAATGAAGACAAATATCGACGCCTTCGGAAGGTAAGTCGTGCACTCAGATGAATCATCCGCTAGCATTAACTTTTTTACCTCTTGTCAGTTACAGTTGTGGGGCTTTATGGGGATTATGGTGTATCTTTTCGCAATACTTTGAACCTGGATGGACCTTTCAGCGAAGCTTGGTCAATTGATTGCGTTCTTCTGAGGATTTATTCGCCTATCCAGTTTCTTTGCTTGTATTGAGTGACTTGCCGAAAGATTGTCGTAGACTATGGGGAATGATGCTCAATTGAAAAGTTGGTATAAATTTGGGTAAAACTTTGCAGGGTAATCCTACTTTTCATAATCGGGTTGCTAAGTTCACAGGTAAGATAGTGTTGCCGAGTGCCAATCTACTCAGCTGCCATTTAGTTTTGCGTTATGACTCAGAGACTTGAACTGAGCGGATTGTTTCAAATAGGCTAATCCATTAAGCTAGTCTCAAACTCAAGAATTTACGAGGTTACAACTTAAGGATTGGGTTCAGATAACTAATAAGCTGTTCAATTTCGAGTGGAGTATACTAACGATGACCGAAATGAATGCAGGGGCAGTGGAAGTCCTGCAAGCCGTTGGCTTCACTGATGGAGGGAGTCCTCTAGGCTCAGGTGGCACTGATTGCTTAGTTCTTAAGAGGTCGGACCCAGGGTTACTCTGGCTTGCTCGCAGCATGTTAGAGACCTCTTTGGCGTAGTTTTTGACGTGGGTTTTCCTTTTCAAACTCAATATGTGGTAAAAAAAATCTGAGTAAGTTTGTGATCAAAGTAACATAGTATATATGGAGTATGATATTACCTTACTTCATGAAAGATCACAATGACAAGACGGAAAGCTTACGTATATATGTATATACATATGTGTTGTGTCTAGATTGTGATAAAACTAAAGGTTGTTGTTCAAATATGTACTACTGATGTATAGAGGTTACAAACGTGACCTAATTTATCACCTCATTGATACTTATCTAAAGGGTGTGCCTGGCGAGCTTCTTTTATGTACAATCGGTGCCAAGCTCAAGTAGTACAATCCAACGGGTGAAATCAAAGTTTTTGTTTTTGTTGAGCTTCTCAGCCCTTTGTACTGTCCCTAGAATTTACATCAGGATTATTCTCATTTTAGATGTAAAGATTATTGTTTAAGAAAGCCCAGTAAGCAAGAGACACATCAAATAATTAGGTTGTCTTTTGTCATTAATAATTGTTTCACTATTCACATTTTGATTTTGCTGTTGAATTGCTAGGTGTGTATGTGTTTATATATATATAGAGAGAGAAAGAATTGTTAATGTTACATCCTCAATTGATATCACCACATCCTATGTGACTTCCACACAATTTAAAATGACTAAAAGATCTGCTTTTTATCCTTAGGGTGCATTTAGTAGTTCAATATTTAACCCCAATATTTTACCCAAAAGATAAGTTTTTTATGGTTTTGGTAGCCAAATTAAAAAAAATCAAAATTTTGAATTAAATAATTTTTGAGGCAAATAATCTGAAAATTTAAAAATAGCTTGTATTTTATTTTTATTATTATTATTATTAATTTTTTACACAGTATTCATTGTCTCCTTTTCTACCACAACCTTTTTTTAAAGCAAAGAAACAAAAAAATGTGCGCAAGAAAGAGACATATTATTAGATGTTTGTCTACAAGGAGGAGACATAGAGTGCAGTAATATCAATTGGAGATGCAACTTTAACAATTCTTTGTTTTTATATATTTACTTTTTAAATCTATTTTAAAATTGATTTGATAATCTAGCATTATTGATTATTTATCTAAAATGACCAGATTCATACATTATATTAAATACATCATTGTTATTATTGTGTTTTTTTTTAAATGTCTTCTTTGTTTTGAAAATAGGTTGCAATATTTTCTATATATTATGCAAGGTTTGATATTGAGTTCAATGTATTTAAAAAAATAATATTCACTACCAAAGAAATTGTTCTATCATAGGTTGAAGATATTATAGGCTTGTAAATGCAAGATCAAATCATTCTTAACAAAACTGTATTGTACAAAGAAAAGCCATACCAAACATTAAACAAAATATTCATAATATATTAATTTTGACTTAATAATTCGTTAATTTTATCTATAAATAGACTTAATAATACGAAAGATATAATTAAAAATGAATGTGGATGATGATAGCAAAGTAAAATGTGAAAAAAAATAAAGACATGGTGCTTCAATTTTTGATATTTTGCCAACAATTATTTGAATTTATTTATTTATTTTTATTTTTATGTAATAGTTACCAATATACAAACACATTTTTTCATGTAGGAATTCTAAATTAAATATATATACACCACATTCCTAGGATTTATGCTAATCCTATTGCAAGTCTAAGAATATCTCTACATATATCCTTTTAAATAGGCATGCAATTGAGTTCATGCTCTTATAACTCACTATTGAAATTAGTTTGTTCCACATTTAATTTCCACTAGTTTATACAATATAAGAACTTAAAAGCACGAATGCTTGCCATATAAATATAAAAAAACAAAAATCAAAATGACTTAATCTCCTTTTGAAAAGTTTGAGAAGAGAATTAAACAAAAAATATACAATCTAATATAAAAAAGAAAGGAAAAGAAAAAGAAAAAAGCACTTAACACAAAGAGTAATGCAAAGATAAAAATAAGAATAACCTCAAAACTATTATGTAGAAAAAGTTTAATTTATTTCCAGAAACATTTTTATTATTATTTTTAAATATAAGATAAATTGAAGGTATACAAAGATAGATATGTAGAGGATGTCAAAGATAAGGAACTATACAAAGAGATGTATAATTTATATCCAATATATATATATATATATATATATTTATATAAGCATATTCTACTAAATGCCATTATATATAATAAATAAGTGTTTTCAGGCTAGAATCAATGACATAATTAAAAAAATATTGTGACATATATATATATATATATATATATATATATTTACATACATATATTGGCAATTATACGACCAAAATTTTATCTTAAAGATGTTCCAAACCTTAATGCAAAGTATGCAATATGCATAGAGAGGTGCCTTAAAGTAACGTGTGAAAATAAAATAAAAATATACTTTAGATGCTCTTTTACTTGACAATATGCCACTTATTACAAAAAATCTTAAATGTAGATGATGAAAATCCTATAAAGTTTATCCTAAAGAGCATAGTTTGTTTATGTCAAAAATATTTGCACTTGTATATTAAAAAGTCAATTGGAGGTGTCTTTAATATAGTTTTTTAACATTGAATTGGTGCGAAGGTGAACAATATTATCAACAATATGGATTTCTTTGTTTTGGGTTGTACATTAGTACATTAATAATAATTATAATGTTGGCAACATTATTATTTTTTAATATGTGATATATAGTAATAAATCTGTTATTGCCATTAAAGTTAGAAATATTTTAAAACATAAAAATAAAAATAAAAATAAAATATAATTTTTTTATTAATTTTATAAAAAAAACTTCTATTAGGAAATAATAGAAAATATAATAATGATTGTTGATAAGTCTATTTTGTATCTATAACAACTTTTTTCCTTCCAAAAGTTTTGTTTGTTGTACAACAATCTAAATGATTATCTTATTTAGTTAGCTATTTGTAAAGCTTGATTAATTCTTTATTATGATGTTATCACAAATATACATGCCATTAGAAGTTTGTAGTGTTGGGTATTATTAGAAATTGTGAAGAATAAAAATGTAGTTTGATGTGAGAATATTGTTACATCTTCTAAATCAATTAATATTATTTCAAAAATAGTTCTTCTAAGCACTTAAAAGTCAAAGTCTTATTTACAATGTTATTTTTTGATAATCTTCTTACCAATAGAATAACTTTTTAGATTGCATGAGCTAGAATTCTTGGCATCAACATGTACATTCTCTTTCTTGTATAAATCATTTTTTAGATTCTAAATTCACCCAATGCTTATAATATTGCAAAGTAGTCTTTTACACTACATTATATCTATTGTCAATAGAAGATTCCATCCATTTAAAAACATCTTGCTATAAAAACCAACTATAATTATAACAAATCAAAAAATAAAAGATTGTTGTCATAGTCACTTTATTTACATCCACTAAATTTGTGATTGTTACAATAAATCTTTACATGCTTCCAAATGTTATCTTTTTTGATTGATTCCATGAATGGTATTTCAAGAACTTGTAAGAAAAATCCCACAATCATATTTCTCTTCTTAAACATAAAATTTATTTATTTATCTTTTCAAGCTCCATAGTTGCAGTGGTTTCCTTTTGACTTGCAAGAGTTGAAGACAATAAAAGGCTGTTCAAAAAATACCAAACTATTGATCAAGCATTTCGATTGCAAAGTGACAAGGAAGGTCGCTACATTGAAGAGGCCTAACTCTAGTCTAGGCCGTCTTTGGAGCCTTAATTGCAAGAGAGGTTAACCAGCAGCCAATAAGCAAATACTGAGCATTAAAGCACAATTTTTACAAGATGATCTGTCTCTTGGATATAACAACGTTAGTCCTGGGAATACTCTCACACTGGCAACGGGAATAATACTCATAAAATAATGAGACTGCCTTCTTAATTGTGCAATTATTTTCTGGTTAATCACACGTCATTTTGAAGCAATCTGATATACAAATTTCTTACCGAAGTCGTTCAAACAATAGTTTGAAAGTTTGTGCTACGCCACGAATATACACTAGGGATAGTGGTAAAACCTTTCTGAAACATGCGAGACAGATTGCACATGTTCAGTGTGTAAGTGAAACCTTTCCCTTATCGACTGATACTGCGCAGGTGGTTTCAGATCATTGTCTTCAAATCTGTGGACTCGAAAGGTTGGATGTAATCAACACATATTGACACGATTTCTATTTATGTACTTACTGTATGAAAGATAAGTCCTGCAAGCTGTGGAGGGACCAAAAGCTTCCTGACGTGCACATTGGGAGAAAGGAGACCGAGTATCTGGACAGTCTTCATTTCTCCGCACAATCAAGCCCTCACACTACAACTCATTATGAAACAGCCTCAAAGAACTAATTGCTTCCTAGAATCAAGGTTAGAGGCATCAATGCATAAGATGGAGGGTGTCGACAATGAAGACGGTGTCAGAAACTAGACAAAATTATATATTACAGGCTTCAGTGGTAGAGAAAGGTGGATAAATCATCGAATGATCGAATTGCAAAACCTAATCGTCATATGACATGTGAGGGGCAGCTTCACAACCAGGATCGAATGGGTCCTCGGAGCCACAGCAATGCCAATACTGAGAAATTTCGCCACCCCCTACAGTGTCCATTGTTCCACCCGTGTACACGCTCTCGAATTTCCTCTTCGTCTCGCCTGCAACCACGACATTATTGGGCCATTCATTCCAAATCGCAACCGGTTTTACAAACCATGAGCTGCTGATGATTGCGAGTGATTTTCCAGAAGGATGCAAAGCGCAAAATGAAGGAGAGGAGGGACTGATTGCACTGACCTCCGAAATGTGCAGTATGAAATCGACAAGCACGCGGGTGATTCTCGAGTGGGTTATACTTCTGCTTGCATGAGCGGCATGTCCGGAGCTCAACCTGGACTTCTTTCTCTCCACTCCCGCTTACTTGCGCGCGGACCCCTGCAGGCACGCAGCGCTTGGTTACCACCCAAAGGAGCATCACAAGCAGATGCAAAATCCAGAAGCATTATCAGACAAAACTACCGCCACCCAATCTCCAAAATCATCCACAAGCAGATGCAAAATCCAGAAGCATTATCAGACAAAACTACCGCCACCCAATCTCCAAAATCATCCACCCCACAGACTACAACCTCTACTCTAAAAAACAACATTCCACAAACACGCCGGCATTCACAATGTCTGCACCGAAATTCTCACCGTGGTTCACGGATTGCGAGACATTCACCCTCGCGGTGCTCCGCGCTCGCACTATGGGACTGGCACCCACAACCGGAACATGGCGGAATCGCAGCAATGGAGGGCACAAAGTCGCAGTCCACATGTTGCCCAAATGTTTGACCCTTCTCTCAGCACCACAAGCACGACGCAACAACGAAATCTCGGCGCTCGGGAAGCCCAGCAGAGGCACAATCCACCCTCACTCCTCTTCACAGTGGCTGTGCAAGAACGGCACATCTCGGATTCATTCTCCGCAAAGGGTACAATCCGAAACATGAGGCTAGGTCAGCAAATAGTGCTCAGCTCTTCCCTTGGTAATTTTTTTTATGCCTTTTGTTTTGTTTTTAGGGGATGTTAAAAAGACCCAGACTTTTATTAAATTGACCCACCCATCCTAACTATCATGAAAAATAAAATAACATCTAGATCCAAAAGAAATTAAAACCAACCACATTCAGTATGATTACCATAATCTTAATCATGAGTAGATTAATTTAGTAAAAGCCTGGGTCTATTTAATATTCCCCTTTTTTTATGTGCCAATCTTTATTTGGAACTTAGGGACTTGGGGCCCAAGCAAACAATACAAAGACCAAAAGAGTTGGGGGAGAAGGGGTGTTTAGAGCAACATTGAGAAATGGCAAAACTTGATAATAATATAAACAATAAACAATCTCTAGTGGATGTGGATGGAATCAATCTTGGCACCACCTCTTCAGTGCTATCACAATCCATTGTCTCACTAGTTCATCATCATTTGGTACTAATTTTGGCATTCAATCTCACATGATTTTGCAATACTTTCGGTTTTGTACAAACTATTGTGGATTATTATCAGGTGGGCCAAAATTAAGACTAATACAACTTATCCATATACCAAGTTTTTGAGGCAAAAATTGGGCACTTTCCTTATCAAAGTCTTGTGTCTTTAGTATGTACAATTCTACAAATTTCATAATAAAGAATAACTTTGAATGACTTTGTGAAATATGCTTTGTGAAATGTGTTTAAAAGAATTCCAAATTGTAGCCAAATTGTCTAAAATCGTTTAAATTGTCTAGGTGAAAATATTATGAAAGGCTATTGGACTTGAATGAAATAGTACCGTGATAAAATTCACCCAACATTGTAGCTATTATTAGATTTTACAAACTAATTAAGACATAGAATAAATTGCTAAAAACAATAAAAATTGGATCAAAAGTGCTAACTTAACTTATGCATCACATGCATAAGTTGGTGTAACTCATATTTCTTTTAAAAACTTATATCGAACATAGAACTATATTCAGTGTGACATAACATGCAACTCAAGGTATTGCAACAATCCATCCAAGATGGGACTCTGTATATGTTACAATCTCTTACATTTCTTGTATTCTTTCAGGTCAAAGGTCTCAATCTGTTAACAGATCAGGTCTCCATCTAACAGCTTTCATGGTGACGAATAGAATAGTATCTGTCTATGCCAACTGAAACGGTGTCTAACGATGTCCATAATGGCATAGAAATCAGCTTAAACAAGTGCTTGGTTCCAAATGATATCTTCAACTGATATACACACAAGAGATGGAACCTTAACGAAGTGTCTCAAATCATCACCTCCTATAATTCTTCATTGACAATGTAAGAGCCAATTCCGAGCCTCTAACTACACTCTCTATGTCCGCAGGAATTCTTATACATAGGAATGCAGAGTCATTCATTTATGATAAGTCTAAACAACCATTCACGAAGATGAAAAAGAAGAAAAAAATTATGCCCTTGTCATCGCTTTCAAGGAAGAGGGATCACAGCTACATTCTGCAAACAAATTCCCTCGCCTTTGCACAGTTGGGCAATCAGACACATGAGGCAACTACAGTTTGAGTGATATTTTCAGTCAAACAAAACAGAAAATATCTTTTATTGAGCTTTCAGTGAAACAGACCTCAGTTATTGATAATAAGTGAGCACTGCTCTCGGGTATGATACCTCACTAATTAGTCTAAGTTGGGTTGCTTGACGATCTTCTCCAACAATGCATCGATTTGTTGCTCAGTCAAACCATCCAGCGCTACGCTTCTTTCCACACCATTATCTGTACACATTTTATGTCCACACCATTGTCAAAAGTCACCACCTCACTAACCGAAGCTCGGTAGGATCATGCGCATTTAAAACTTTGTCTAACCTGAGAGCAGACATGATTTCCAACCCTAATCTCAACTTTTAACACCAGATCATGACACTGACTAAATAATGTATTCAAATGGAGAGGATTTTGAAGCGGTACTGACCATAGCGGGCCCAAATGCGAGGCTGCACGCCGCTACACTCACGAATCAGGATAGGTAGCGTTGGGTTCAGAGCTTTCAAGTCAGCATAGTTCCTCTGAATAAAATTTCTGCAATTCATACGAGCAATGTCTCAAACTTAAACTTCATAATTTACTGGATTATGAAACAAAAACCTATGTTGGAATCTACAAGCCGTCAATCTTGATGAGAGGAGACCAAAACAGTGCTCCCCAGACCCTCAGAAACAAAACCCTAATTCTAAATTCAGAAAAGGTTGATTAACTTCGCTACTCGAACAATCGGAAGAAACCCAGAATGGCCCAAGAAGAGATCTCGACACATGCTCCAAAATCCAAACAATGCAAAGTGAAAGTGACCGCTAGTAACACCTGGTGACAGTGGACGCAGGCGAAGTCTGGCAGCAATGGATCCGAAGTTCCTGCACCACCTGCGACAGCTTCCCTCGCCACGACATGATGTCTGCTCTCTTCAGTCCCTAGCCCGAACTATCAAAAGAAAGACACTAACGACACGCAAAACCCTACAAGTCCTTCACCGAATGCTACAAATTACAGTGACAATTAGGTGCAGATAAGTGCTTGGTTGAACACACCCACATGACAAGAAAGTGGTGAAGAAAACAGGAATATGCTGAATGAAGCTTGAAAACTCATTCATCCAAGGTATCTCATTCTTGTCCTTCGTCTCCACCTTCGTGAGTCTTTCTTCTCGTTTGGAGTTTGCCCGAGCAAGCCGAGCTGTATTCGGAACTAATTCGGAACAATCCTAAATTTCTGGTAGACTTGTGGCTGCATCGGTGATCAGAAAATTTTGCATCAAGTCGAATTAGGGCGTTTCTCGAAAGTGCTGTTACGGAGCGTAGTGAAGCAGCCCTCATGAAGCTGAATATTCCGACAGGAGGATGAGCTGCGGGAACATCGCGATAATGTTTGGGGAGCTTTGAGAAGTGGAGCGTTTTTAGGAGAATTCTCTTTGCTCTGTCTTGCAGAATCAGAAGGCAATTTGTTTCAAATGGGGAGTTTGGATGTCAGCATCGCACGCATGATGCAGAAGCATGCTTACGTGTCTGCTCAGCATCGAGAACGAGTTGGTGTGTTTCGGCACCCATCCTTTTGGCACCTGTCAGATTTGTCACGCATTTTGGTGTCACGATTTTGGGCTTGTAGGTGGAAGACCTTCTGTTCATTTAGTCCTATATTTTGAAGTATGCTGAGCTTTTCGAAGAGATTATTTTTATGCCCAAGAGCTTATCGCAACAGTTGAGGTATTCGTCGATGATCTGGCTGCAAATTACCAATCATGGATTCCAATTTGGCTAAGCATGAGGGCATCGCGCAATATGAATTGCATCATATTGTAGGTGGTTGATGTTGCTCAGAAGTGGTGCTTCAACTGAGCTTAATGTCTCAGTATTCGCTCTCGCTGCTTACGCAGCTACTCCTAAGCCGGACCTTGATTCTTTTTGTTATTAGGGTTTTGGTTGGATTTTACCATTTGCGATTTCAGCTAGGTTTCGTTTAGGTAAAAGAAGCCATAAGTGGACGCAGAAACACATTGGTGACCTACATGTGTCCTGATCCTCCGTGCTCGATATTGATTGTAGTACAAAGTGAGTGGTTTTTTCAACCTTCATTTGTAATTGTTTTTTGTTGGGTCTGGCTTCGGACAGAGACGGCCAAAAAAGATGCGCTAGCTTCTGCAGCTGTAGTTTCCAACCTCTTAGTGGAAAGCGTTAACGGAGGTGTGCAACAAGCCTTCGTAAATGAGAAGCGAATTGAGATGGAGGCCCGAGCGCTTGGTGTCACGATCTCCAAGTTCGTGAAACAAACCTCGCAATGGCTCACTGTTGTTCATACCTTCGACACAGCACTCAAGGTCAGCGGCCATTAGTCCGGCTTTCGTATGTCCTCTAGAAAATACAACATAACACACATCACCAACCATCATCAGTAGGATAAAACTTCATTGTTCTCAAGTACCTTGACATATTTGAACTCATAATTAGTACTGGAGGAGAACCTGCTGTTGTTTTAGCTACAGTTTCTGCCAGCTACAGTTTTAGTTGCATTGAAAGATGCAAAGTTGCAATTCTTAGCTTCCATGGTATCATCGTGACTGCAGGAGATTGGAGATTTTGAAAATTGGGTCAAGACTATGGAGTATGACTGTGCACAGATTGCTGGCACACTGAAGAATGCAGTTGTAGCAAGGGAGCAAAGATAGCCCTAACTCATCAACTGGTAAACTGGGTTTTTGCAATCACAATCGGTTGTGTTATACTAGAGAATCTCAAAGCTTGTCATACTTTACCCACACGACTGCAGAAGTGAGAATCAGTAGGATTAGATAGCATAAAAACAATGAAGTTGTCAATATGTATGTGTGTAACTGATGATACTTGTATTTTGTGATTAAAATCTACAACTTTAAAGTTGTGATATTGTTTGTTTTGTACAGTTGATGTGGTTAGAACAATTTGTAGATAATGAAGATGTGTTGTGTTGCATTTGCTGGATTTTGATATACTGGATTTAAGTGATCAAATTTGTTTTTGTTCTTTTGTTGATTGGTACGTGAGTATGTAGAATATGCATTCAACAACATAGATTGTATTTTTTCCTATAAATATGTGGTTAGTGTCACTACTTATTTCTGTATATTCATGTGGTTCCAAACATTCATGTTATATCATAGTGGGGATTATAAATTCATTATCATCAATACAAAATTTGATGCAACAAATAGTTGTATAGTTTCAGATGCAGAAGAACTATGTTTCTTCTACATTTTAATTGAGCAAATAACAAGATGACAATCTGATCATCCAGCTATATTCAATGACAGACTTCAAGAAAGAAAATGTGGATAATAAACAATTTTAAAAATCAACTGTATTTTGTTTCTGTGCATCCTGAAAACCACACTGATACAGTATATTACATAAATCGTAAACAAGTGTTTATAACTATACTATCAGAATTTTAAATTTTTTGAAAAGACTGAAAAATTAATTTTTTTTAAACTTAAATGCTACTAAAGAACCAAGTTAAAAAGAAGTAGAACAAATTTAAACAGTCACTAACTTGTAAGAATAATCAATATTAATAATATAAAAAGGATAAATGTATTTGAATTTATATATATATATATATATATGTGTATGTTTTCTTCATTGATATGCATTAAGTAATATCATCTATAATGTAACTTATTCTACTTTCATTGTTATTTACTTATTTTAATATTCCTACTTTGCTATTAATCAAAGGCTTTCAATCCTAATGCTTTTATCAATATATAATGTTTATCCTTTATTAATACTTTTGTCAACAAATCAATAAGCATGTTTTCTATTGCACAATATTTTATATCAATCACTTCTATTTCAATCTTCTTTCTTATGAAGTGATATTGAATGTCAATGTGCTTGGTCCTTGAATAACGTTTTGGATTCTTTTCATTTGCAAGACATTCTTAATTGTCACATTTCATTGAAGTTGCTTCTATTTGCACTATTCCAATATTCTCAAAAAATTATCTTAGCCATATTACCTCTATTGTATGATGGCTTGTTCCTATGTATTCTACCTCCATTGTTGACCTTGCAATTATTGATTGTTTCTTGTAATTCCATGAAATAGCTCCCACTCCAATAAAAAAAATATATCTTTTTTTTGACCTTTTATCATTTACATCTCCATTCCAATTTGTATCACAATAACCATATAAAATAATATTATTACATCTAAGATATAATTTGAAATGTAAAGTACCTTTTAAGTACCTCATAGTCTTTTTGATGGTTGCTCAATAGATTGGTCCAACCTTTGTATTAGTTCATAACATTCATTGCATATATAAGATCCGCTCTTATGCCAACTATTATATACATAAGTGAGCCCACTACTATCTTATATGGAACACCTTGCATTTCACCTTTATTTTTAGCAAACTCTTCATTTCTAAACTTCATCAATTTCAAATTGGCCTCCAAAGCTGTATCCATAGGCTTATATTCCTCTATATTGAATCGTTTCAACACCTCTTCAATGTACTTGCTTTGGCTCATTATAATGGTCTTCTCAACACAATCTTTCACAAATTCCATTGTTAAACAATAGTGAAGTTCTTCCAAATCACTCATCTCATATTTATTTTCTAATTTTGTCTTCAACTAATCCATCATCTTCAACATATTAGTTAAGATTATCAAATTATTAACATAAAGGATGACAATCAATATGAACTCATTTGATTACATTACATTCATCAAATGATCAATCTTACTTCTTTTAAATTCTTCATTTACAAAGAATTACATTACATTCTTCAAATGATTAATCTTACTTCTTTTAAATTCTTTATTTACAAAGAATGTGTCAATACATTGATATCATGTCGTTGGTGATTGCTTGAGCTCATACAAGGATTTCTTCAACTTATAAACAAGATGTTTGTCTTCTTCAATAAATCCTTGAAGTTAATCTATGAAGATGTCATCTTTTAAGCTTTTATTTAAAAAAGCCATCTTTACATCAATTTGATGCAACTCCAAGTCTATTGTTGCATCAATTGCCACAATGGTTTTAATAGTGTTGAATTTGGCTACGTGAGAAAATGTCTCATTAAAATCAAGAGTAGCAACTTATGAATAGTCTTTAGTAATCAATCTAGCCTTGTATCTTATAATATTATCTATTACATCCTTCTTGGTTCTAAACACCCACTTATAACCAATTGAAGACCAATTTGATCAAAATTGAATCATTTCTCATGTTTCATTCTTCATTAGTGATTTATATTCTTTTTTTAAAGTATTTTTTTACTTCATAGTATTTGTGGACTTCATTGCATTAGAAAAATTCAATGAATCAGCAAAGAATGCAATATTGACATGTTCTTCACTTGAAAAAAGATGTATTTTTTCTATTATTTATTAAGTTATTTTTATCTTTCAAAGGATATCTTCTTTCAATTGATAAAGATTCACCTTCTTACACACTAAGGTCTCTTGCAATCTTTTTTTTTTCTTCATAAAGCTTGTCTCTTTATAATTAATAGTTGATACTCCACATAATCATTATCTTCAACATTTTAATTGTCTTCATTGCTGATTCTAGCAATTGTAGACATAATTTGGTCTTCTTTCTTTCGCTCTTCATCTTCATTTATACCTCAACCATCTTCATTGTCATCATCTTTTTTTTCTTTTTTTATTGGAATTGAAGATGTGTCCATAAATATACCATTATTTTCACTTGGTTACATTTCCAAGTGCTCACAAGTACTTTTATACTTCAAAAATTCTACATCATAATTCTTGATGATCTTCTTGATTTTAAATATATGAGCCTATATGCCTTGGTACCTTCAGAATATCCAACAAATACATATTTTGTACTTTTTGTATTAAGTTTGGACCTCATACAATTAAATATCTTTGCATAGGCAATACATTTAAAAATATTTCATGTATAAAAATTAAGGTTTCTTGCCATTCCAAGCTTTTGGAGAGTCATTGATACGAATGTACTTTTAGAGCACCTATTTCTTGTATATACTATTGTAATCATGGCTTTTTTCCAATATTCATGGCCAAAATTTTGTATATGAAGCATAGTCCTTGCCATCTCTATAAATTTGTAATTTTCTCTTTTAACAATTCTATTTTGTTGTAGAGTATAAAGAATCAATGTTTATCTTACAATGCCTTGAATCTTCAAAAATTTATCAAAATAATTTGATATATACTTACATCCATTATTTATATGTAATACTTTAATCTTGCACTCACATTGCTTCTCTATAAGTGCCTTAAATTCCTTAAATCTTGCAAAACACTCACACTTTGCTTTAAGAATATAAATCTACATCTTTTTTGAAAAATAATCAATAAATATGACAAAATACCTTGTTCCTCCAATTTATGGTATTTTTATTAGTCCACAAATATTAGAATGTATAATTTCCAACAATCTGCTAGTATGTATTGCAGCTTTTCTTGAAAATGAAGCCTTTTGTTGTTTGCCTTAGATACAACTTTTACAAACAAGTGTCATGGTATTATGGCTAAATTGATTAAAATTGAAGCTACTTACTATAAATTATAGTTACTTTATATTTTTGGCATTCAAATGACTAAATCATTCTGCCAAATTCCAAACTTATCTTGATTTTGTAGAAATTCAATAAATGCTACTAATTCAATTCTATTCTCTTCTTATAATTGATGAAGTAGAGGTTGCCATTTCTTAGGCCTTTGGCAACATATTTTCCATCCAATGTCTTCACAAAACATCCATTCATATCAAATTAAACCTTATAACTATGTGATACAAGTTTGCTCACCAAAAAGAGGTTTTTTTCCATCTTTGGCATATGTAAGACTTCCTTCAATTTGATCTTCTTTATTTGATCATATACTACAATCTCTATTTCAATGGAGCAAATTTTAATGGCTTATACTATGCCATTGTCTTCCAAACAAATATTTGTTGCTAAAATTACTTTATAAGTGTCAAATCAACACTTATATGGTGTCATGTACTTAATAGCACCTGAATCTATGATTGGCATAGACATGGCAATGATAGAAGCCCCTTCTTATGCTATGAAAGCATAATCATCTCCACTAAAACTATCACTAATATTATTTGTATTCTCTCTATTATTTTTCTTAGCCTAGTAATAATCCCTTGCAAAGTGACTTGATTTTTTATAAATATTATAATTTTTTATATATTTTTTTAAAATTATTATACTGATAAAAATAGCTATCTTAGCCTTGTCTTGATAATAGAGCTAAATCATCACTTTGAAGCTGATTTTCTTTTCTCTTGGTTATTTCATGAACTAATCTTGATGTGACATAATTCATAGTAAGCTCATTTATATTGATAGACTTCAATGCCACAATGAGGCAATTGTTGGCTTTTGAAAGGCTCATGAGTAATATCAATACAATATCCTTATCACCAATTGGCTTCTTAACAACTACTAATTGATTTGTAACTACTTTTACCTTATTAACATGAGTCATGACATCATTTCTTTCTTTTATCTTTATTGTTAAAAACATCTTCTTTATCCATAGAATTTGGCAAGGTTTTTACTCTCATAGATGTTGCAAAGAATCTTCTATGCTTCTAGTGATCAATTGCAAGCAATTACATATAAAAAATTGGCATCATCAAGATTTGTTGTAATTATGCCAAAAGCCTTCTTTTCACAATATTCATATTTCTTCTTTACCTTGACATCAACATCATTATTTGGAAGCTCTTTAATTTCATCAATAATGTTCCAAAAGTCCAATGAAGGAAAGAAAAGCTCTATTTTCTTCTTCCAATAGTAGAAATTTTTATCTCTAAATTTCTTAATTATTCTTAAGTCTTCACTTTCACTTGAAACCATGTCTAATGAAGAAATGTATAAAAAAAAATCAAAAAAAGAAT